TTTTTAAATAAATAATTTATATATGTACATCAATCAAAAAAGAGCATTATTTATATCTATCTAAATTAAATATCTCTAAACGAAGAACCAAATGAATTTACTATAAAGTTGTTTCTGCAGTGTCTTAAAATGTACACAAGAGAACGTAATGCAAAACAAGTATAAAATTACAATAAGTTCCTGAACAATACAGGCTACTGTCCTTCTTATTATGATACAACAGAAGCTAGAATTACCATTATCTCGCTGTCAAAACTCATTGGATAAGAAAAAATTCGTAACAATGTCGTCATAAACTTAAAAACGTTTTACAACGTCCCAAATATTTTAACCCCCGGTAGCTATATTATATGACTTTTGTTTAGATCAGCCGTCTATGGCCTTTATGGCCCATTTCGCCTTATGCTTTTACGGCGCGAGCTATTTTCTTTTTTGTAGTATCTTAAATAAGACGTAATGTTCTTAGAAACGGAACATTAGAATGGACTAGAGGCTTTCTCTTTTTTGAGGGACACGTACGACGGATTTTATGGTCAATTGTTTTACTTAGTCGTCGACAAGGCAAAAAAATAATATATATACCATAGTTGATTTAGAACCGTGTATGTTAAACGGATTGTTAATCAAACGTGTTCACGGTTCATAAGTTCTTTTGTGTCGCTCTACGTAAACTGATCATATTAGTCGATGAAAGTCAAAGGTTGATTTAATTACAACAAAAATTCATGCTTTGTTTGCCTGAATTTATACATTTGAAATGAATCTGTCGGAATTTATTGTAATCAATAAAAAAGTTTTTTGTATAAAATTTTATAATTTTATCAGTTTAAGACGTTGCAATTATATGAAGTATTTAATACACGCGAACCGTAAGTTAAAAGAGTTGCCATAATTAAATTTAAATCTTAATTTAAAGAATCATTATATAAGCACAACGAATGTGACACAAAACTGTAACTATCTCTACCGTCTATGCGATAAACAAAAAGCCATTGTATTATTGTAATATTATTGTGTGTCTCTGCTGACTAAATCTTTTAAAAACAACTGATTTTATTTTCATGAGATATTATATAAATTTAAATATAAAAATTTATATAAATTTAAATATAAAAATGAGAAAATAATAATCACAGATATTTATTGAAATTAAAATTAAACAAAATGAAAAACAATACAAAATAATTCAATGTAAATTGTATGCAAGTTGTTTCAACTGAACTTAAACCAGTAAAAAAATAAAAAATATGATTTGAAATCAATTCAATTACTTGGCAATGGGCGACTAATTTCATTTATTAATTATAAATATTTACTAGACTATCCCACATTGACAACGAACAGTAGTTACAATAAACTATTTCAACATCTTCTATGTTATTTATGCTTTGTCTGTACGACCGGGTAAGATCGTATTTTATAAACGGTCAACAAGCGATAAATTTTGACGTAACAATGAAACGGTTATGGTATAAACAAAAATAGCGTAATAAGGCAATGAGCAATTTTAATTTACTAAAAATTACAACAGACAAAAAGTAAAAACACAAATAATAAGGGACTTTGTAATTAATAAGGTTTTAATTAAGTATAAAAATTTTAAACAAAGCAAAGTCGACATCTTATACTACTTATAAATTAACTTTGTCAATAAATTTTTAAACATTATTCAACGAAGCAATAGACGAAAGATTAACTTATTTTATTTTAATTTAATAATTTTAAGAAATAAATTAATAATTTCAAAATATAAATAAAACACTTCTTCATAAAATTAAATTTTACACTTGCTATAACACTCTTATATATACTAATACAATAATTTACTTTATATTGTTTTAAAACTCAGTAATAAGTTCAAGAAAATTAATTTACACAGGTTTGTACTATTTTCACATTATTGTAAAACATCAAAATAATATGTGTGTAACATTAAAAGAGTCCTTAACACTCAGTTGAACTTTAAGAGAATTTTACAGAATGTACCAATTTAAGGTGAACCTTTTAGGAGTTTTTTGGTTCGCGTCTCGATTGAATGCACTGTATCAATACTTGACAACCAACAATTCTGCCTATAATGAAGCGTGATCTGTGACGACTTGTAGTACCTTATCAAGTTTTGTGGCACTATAATAAAAATATTGCTTTTCGATGTAAGATTTCTAGTTATAGCAAAATTCATACGTAATTTATATGATTGGTATAATTTAAGAAGTATGAAACAATCAATAAATGTTATTAGACCGTGTTATTAAGTGAAAGCTTTGAGACAAACCATTACGTGCGTGTCAGATTTAGTTTTATATAAATGGTGTAAAGTATTTCAAATGAAAGTATGCATAATTTTCACGTGATAATTTTAGTTGCATGTGAATTCTTTATGTAGCGTATCAAATACAACTTTCCCTACTATTATGTACTTTTTAAGAGAATTTAGTCTTATTTTCATCACTCCAATAAAAAATTATATACAAAGGAATAAACTCTAGAACATTCCATATACATATGTTTTATATAATATCATAAAACATGAACTAAACATATTGTTGCATAAAACACTCGTAATACAAAACAAACATTTGAGATCGGCCTGTCACAGAATATTAATGACCGGCAACACAAAACGGCTTTATAACATAAACCTTTTTAATCCAGTATCGATATCGAAGCATTGAAATAATAATGTATAAAATTACATTAACATTTGCATAATTAATATTAAAATTTATATGTTGTTCTTCGTAATTGTAAAGAATACTTTATGATCTATCTATCTTCTTTATGTTTTTTCTTACTATTATTTGATTTATTCGTCAGTGGACATCAGTTGTTATAGTAATTAACTTCTTAGATTTAAATCAAGTAGCATCTGTGAGTGTCGGAGAACACATGTTTAGTTATAGACGAGGGCACTTAAGAATTAAGTTACAATCATAACAAGATACTATACATTTATTTTTCTAATATTTCTCTACAAGTGGCTAAAAACAATCCGTATCTGAGACTTGTATTTAAATAAACTGAATCCTGCTTATTTTCAAATAGTATTTGATACATTATGAATCTCCTTAAAATTTCACCGGTGATTCTTAATTCAATGCGTAAGTAATTTTATTTTTCACAAATTATGTTTTAATCTGTCAAGTAAGTACTTTATTTTCTTTACTTTATGTGACTTTTATGTTGCTTATATTTACAAAATTTTACCGGACAAAATTTTGTTTCTTAATAACCATATCGAATGAGTCATGATAATGTAAATTTGTATGGACAGAATTTTAAATATTGTAACGGTAGAAATTAACACGTGTCAAGCACTTTAATAGGATATTACATATTAGTCTATAGGTGAGCTATTATTATACTACATATTATGTGTATGATATTATGTTTTAATTGTAAATAGTGTTGACAGTTGATACAGTTAAGGAAAAATTTCTAATTACGCCATCTTAAAGCTTACAAGTAGGCGATTAAGCGAGATTGTTTATTTATTTTTATATTTTGCGAAAAAAATAATAATATTCAATTATACCTATGAACAAAATATATATTTGACAATAGGGGAAATAATGTATTTCTGAATCGCATACAGACAAATATTAAATTTCGTCGAGTAAAGTCGTGGTCAGCTATAGTCGTGGATGTTGGTATTCAAGAGAGAACCAAGTTTGTATTAAGCCGACGGCAAGCTAACGCTGATCACGTGCTACGACGGATACCACGTCCGGTTTACGGATAACAAAAAAGCTTATTGAAGCTAACCTTTTTAGACGCACCGTAGAACAAGATGACGGCAAATTTACTTTCTGTTATATAAAAAAATATCTAAAATTTTTAATAGAAAACAACAAATAAAGTGTATAAAATCAAAAAAGCACAATAAAGCACAGTAAACTAAATGACAGTAAAGTAAATAACGTTTTATTGTGTCTGAAAATTGGGAACGTTATTTAAATTTTATGTAATATGACTATGACTATTTTTTTATTGGCGGTTGAATAACGTCAAAATACACCAGACACTATCAGAAAATCTGTTTATTATTCTAATTTAAATGATTCTGATCATGGCTAAAAACGTTATTTTTGATCGAGGTTTTGTATGGAAATATTTTTAATCAAACTATTCACATAAAAAGTACATAATCTAAAAAATTTAAATATTTTCCAATTTTGCTTTAAGGGTCAAAAGATATGATTTCTTGTCAAAAGAATCAGAAATCTATTTATTTAATTCAATTATGTATTGTAAAATATATATGTATACCAATACTATAATCCAAATATACTCATAAGTTTCTAAAATATTGTAATCTAATTCATTAAAATATAAGGATAGAGTATTAGTCAAACAAAACTATTTGTAGGCTTGTATTATATTTCAATTACTAAAATTGAATCAAATGTGTTTAAAAGGATAATAAAATTATTTTCGACTCTAAATACTGCTTCATTTGTTTTTAGTAACTTGATAAAGCAATCGTCATCATAATTATACTTTGATTAAATGTTTCCATTTGATTGTTTAATTGCTAGTATCATTTGTATCAAACTTAATAATTACATTTGTGAAGGATATAACAATTTACTTGTTTTTATTTTTAAATTTTATTATTTTTCTACACATTTATATTATTTTGTAATCTTTTTAATTTTATAGTTTAAGATTTTGTTTGATAGAATTTTACCAGGAATAACTCACATTAAAATACCTTTGTATAAATCTTCATCACTTTATTTTTATAATGTATAAATAACGCCATATTCATGATATTCATATAGTATGATCACTTGTCTTTGCTATTTACAATAGTAATGCTACAGCAGTCTTTAAAATTTTAATACAAAACCTATACACAGGATAACGAACAGGCAATAGTAAGTTTACTTACATACGTTTTGGTATAGCACTTACATCTAATAATTACAATATTTACAGCATTTTTAATTTAACATCTACATATATACAATATGACTGGAATTGGGCCGGAACCCTTTCTAGACTAGGTAAGCTTGTACGCCACCGCTACCTGTATCTACAATGGGTGGCGGGGGTGGCCATTGCCGCATATCTCTTCGTCTGCCTGGTGCCATGCCTTGCTCTAAGGATGAGTAATCCGAGTCTATTGAGGAATAAATATGATCGGATATTGGTCTACCATCTGGGCCATAGGAGACTCCTTGAATTTGTCGCATAGTTGAAGGCGATTGTCTTACTTCTGTACTATACTCTGGTGGAGCACTAGCGCCTTGACCGCTGTTTCCCAATACAGGTGACTTATCAGGATAACTTAAAGTTCTATTGCCACCATTAGGGACAGATGAGTCTAAAGTATAAGTATTAATATTTTTTCTACAATTAGATGAGTTTCTTTTCTTATGGTTTGATTGTGTTGAATCAGGCAACATATACTTAAGGCGCTCCATAAAATTTTTTTGACCATATCTTAATCTTGACCCAGTTTTAAGGTATGGTCTTAGTTCTTCGTCACACATCGCTTCTTGAACTACTGAATAGTCTTCAATTAAAACTAACTTATAAACATATCCTTTTAAAACTTCATGGAATTCTTTTCGATAATCAAAGCGGGACCACTCAGTTTGCATAAAATTTCGTGTTAAGACTAATATAATCCGTTTAGATGCTTCAGCAAAATCAAGTACTGGTGGAGCATATTGCATGTATTGCGCGCCATGATGCGGAATATCTCTATAGTGAAGGCAAAGATTATATGATGAATTTCCGTTTTCTAATTCGTTGGCAAAAATTTGTAATACCAGTTCTTCGTCTTTTGGGCTGTAGCAAACATATGCATCATATAATTTTTCGTTTTCTTCGTAACCATTGGAGAGTGAAAATACACGAATGCCACAATTTGTATAAAGCCAAACTCGTAACGAATCTCTAAAAAGAAATAGTACCACAAGAGCTAATAAAATTAACATAAAACCAGTAAGAGTTGAGACCATCATGGGAACATAGTTTGACACCAACATATTTCCGATGACTGAATTATCGGCGTAATAATCGCTGCAGGCTGTTCCATTTAAATTAAGCTCTTTTTTCTGTGGCGGCTTTGCGTCTCCATTCCAACACCATACGTCGGTTATATCTATTATTTTTTGAGCGTTTTCGGCTAAATATGCTGTTAATTCTTGTAGATAACGGCATTTGCATGACCATAAATTATTACCCAGTGATAATGCTTTCAGATTAGAGTTGTCGGTGAAACTCCATACTCCGAAGTCAACCAATCTATTGCCGTCTAAACGTAAAGTTTCTAGCGATTTTAGTGACAAGAATGATATGTTCGCGATATGACTAATGAGGTTGTTTTGTAAAAACAATTCTTTTAAATTACTTAATTGGTGAAACTCATATCCTTTCAATTCTCGCAACTTATTGTTTCCCAGGTGAAGTATTTGTAAAGCATTGAGGCCAGCAAAAGTTCTATTTTGAATACTGTCTACGTTACTATTATTCACATAAAGAGACCGCATCTTTTGTCGTCCAATAAAAACGTGGTTTTGTAGTTCTCTTATGTTGTTTCCATCTAAAAATACTTCAGTTGCATCCATCGGTATCTTGTGTGGGATTTCCATCGACGATTGTCCGGAGCAATCAACGACGTTAGTGTTCCATAACGGGTCGTGATAGCAAGTACAATTTTGTGGACAGGTCATTTCACAGTCACACGCGTCGTAATCGCAGCAATGACAAATAGCAAAACAATGAGTCTCATACGCACATAGAAAGTCCGATTTCTTAAGATTGGTTAGGGGTACTTGGGTCCCGCTACGAGTGTTCGTCATTTTACACAACACGTTTTCTATGTCCATTACGCGCGGATATTGCCGCATAGCAGTCATATTGTTTACAATCGGTAACCACTCCATTGTACAATCACATTTAAAAGGATTCCCACCAATATAAAATTCAGGTAAACTTTTGTTCATGGGCACATTAGCCAAACGTAAACTATTTAGTTCTAAATGCACTATTTCATTAGCATACATATCCACACGAGTAAGATTTTTTTTATCAAAAAACGTATTAACATGAATATTATTTAAGAAATTATTATTTATAAACAATAATTCAACGCTATTAGGTATAGACATTGGTGATATTTCTACAATTCTGTTATGACTTACATCTAAAGTTTTTATACGAATTTCATCCTGTAATTTGTAATAGTTACCTAAATGTTCAATAAAATTGCCGTGAACGTCCAACCACTTTAAATTACTAGGCACAAACGCATAGTCGAACCACACTAAATGATTTTCCGATAGGTTGAGCCACAATAGACTCGCAAGTGTTGAAAAAACTCCATTAATGTCCGACAAGAAGTTTCCATCTAATCTAATGGCCTCCAGTTGAGAGTTTCGACTAAATGTTCCTCGTTCAATGGATTGGATCTTATTTTTCGCAATATTCAAAACTTGTAAACTTGGCAAATCCCAAAACATACCAGCACTTAAATTTCCGATTTGATTGTCAATCAATCTCAATCCAGTCAATTGATTTAAATTTTTAAATGATCCATTTTTAAAATCTGATATTTGATTCTCTCCCAAATCAAGGGTTTTAAGAAAAGGAAGCTCCCACAATGCATCAGGAACTTCTATTAATTGATTTGAACTCAAGTCTAATTCTTTCAAGTCAGAGCAATTTTTAAAAGCTTTTCTGTCAATATTTACAAGTAAATTGTTATTGAGTGTCAATTTACTTAGAACAAATAATCCGTTGAACAAGTTTTCATCTACCGTGTGAAGACGGTTTTCTGCCAAGTTCAATGTGTGAAGATTATACAGAGGCAAGAAAGCATTTTCCTCAATATACCCAATGGAATTATTTTTTTTAGTTCAATATTTGAAGAACAAATAAATCTTTAAATGTTTTTCCATCAATTCTTGTCAGGGCATTGTTTGATAAGTTTAAAACTATCAATCTTATTAAACCAAGAAACGTCCCGTCGTCTATATGATTGCTTGTAAGTTGATTACTCGATAGATCCAAAACTATTAACTGTTCAAGTCGATGAAATATACCTCGAGCAAGTTCAAATATTGAGTTATCGCTTAGGTAGATTTCTCTTAATTCTCTAGCATAAGCAAATAAGCCTTCCGGTAAGGTATGAAGGCGGTTATGTGATATGTTCAAAACTCTCAATGAACCAAGTCCTTTAAATGCTTCACTTGATATGTCAGAGATATTATTATGTTGTAAGTATAAATATTGCAAACTACGCAATTTTAAAAGTTCTGATTCTTCGGATAGTGTCTTGATTTCATTATGACTCAAATCTAGTGTATGTAAACCAGATCCACACCCTTGTCCGAAACCAATCTGCCCCACAGTTTTATTCTATTACGTGTAACATTTAATGTGTTCAAGTTCTCTAGAGAGCAAAATACACCAGAAGAAATAAACTTTATGTTATTTTGAGCCAGATCTAATGACTGCATTTCCGATAATCCATTGAATGAGTTTAAAGTTAATTCCAAATTCTTGGTAGGACTCCACTCGGAATTTTTGGAACGAATCTTTAGTCTTCTTAATTTATTTAAATCTTGAAAAGTGTTGTCGGGAACAGATAGTAGCTTGCAGTTATTAATTGTAAGATCGGTTAAACTACCAACGGTACTGAAGTAGTGTGCTCTGAGAGTACTTTCAAACAATAACAGGTGATTGCACTCAATATTAAGTGCATATGTTTCTGAATTCACAGTTGAGATACTACTCCCATCGCTATCGAGAGTACGAATTCTACAAATTATACTGTTTCCGGAATCCTGTCGCACACATTTGTCCAAACCGTACGACGGCACAGACCACACAAAGTGCAGCAGCACACAAAACACAGTCGTTACGGCATACATTATCACAGATATTTCATTTCACTTTAAAATGTCTCATAAACACTCCCCGTGGGTCGATATCAACATTTCCGAAACAAAGTACATAACACAGTTCGGCTTTAAAGAAAAACTTTTAAGCATTTCGCTTCACTTAAATCCATCAAGCAATAAGTTAGTCCTCGGTAGATAAATATTTTGAACTCATATATCCTTCGATCGTATCCAGCGATGAGTTTGACAATTTTCTGTCATTAAATATGTATAACGTGTTTAAGATATTCACGAGATGTGAAGCGCGTCCGCTTCTCAGAGCGGTTTCGTTGTGACTGTCAAGCGGAGCGTTTGACTTGTGGAAGTGGTAGCGGGGTCGGGCGAGTAGCCCCTCTCCTGCACCCCGCATCCTAAGTAAGCTCTTTAAACTTTATGAACAACTAGAGCCATCTAGTGACTAGTAGCGTAGGTTATATTTAATAATGAAAAATATATATATTTGAAACAAATATATTTTTAAAATAAAACCCATCTAAATATAGAAAAATATTACATTGCAGATTTCATATCTAAGTATGACTCTTTGTAATGGTTATAGACTACTAACTCGGTTTTGAGACAGAAAGATAACGAATACATAATTTATAAATATATATAATATAAATATATAATAAAATACTTTTAAAGTTTGAATGTGACGAAAAATGTGGAATTTTCTTCGTAACACAGGTTGCGCTAGTTTTTTTACATTATTTTATGATAGCGAATAAATACCGCACTTGATTGAACAATAAAAATATAAAATCATTTTTTATATATTCTTCTTTGTATGCCTGATATTATATTTATTACGTTCTTCAGAAGAGTAAGTGCGTAAATGTGTAGCATGCTAATGACATCATGGATATCAATATTTTAAAAATCACGCTATAAAATTTCAATCCCAAGATACTTTTGGAAAACTGACATGCTATTTACATAAATCAAATCTATTTCGTAAAGGAACACTCCTATTCCACTGACGCCCGTGTTAACGTCTAACTTTCCCAACAAATAAAATTCCAAATTCGAATGTTTCATTTCTAATGTTTTGGATGCCGAAAAGTGGGACAAGCAGCGGGAGAAAAATGGAAAAGTCGTGTCTTTTGTATACAATCATCCTCCTATCCACTGCAAATATAAAATCATAATGTATGATTTCCAAACCTATGCCTTAAGCATAAGGTAGCTTTTGTCAATGTGTTAAAATTCTTTTGCCTGTTGCGTGACAATATATTTACAATACAGAACAGGGATTTATTTTTGTAACATTTATATGACCATAATTATATAACTAATATTTCAATGACTTCATATAAAAATTAAGATAAAATGAAAAGATAAATCAAATAGAAATCAATAAGATGAAAAAAATAAACTATTAATAATTATTTCACTGTCTGTTTTCACTGGTATTCAAAAATCAATCATTTAAATATTATGTATGTATCAATAGGTTAAGAAAAATAATTATAGCATCATTATTTGAATTGAAGTAGCAGTTATATATGAACTGTAATATAAATTAATTTATGATTATTTATTTTGCACTTTTTTTCTAAGAAACGGAGGAGTTACTTAACAAACGAATATGTAATATTTTTATAAAACAAAAGGTTAAAAAGTATTGCAAATCTACATAACATGATCGGGACTTCAATCCAAATGCAGAGTGTTTGAAGTTAAATCCTGTTCTGAAGGAAGTTGTTTCGCCTATTATAGATTTTCTCTCAAGAATTGTAGTTGCCAGACAATTTTTTCTTCAAATAGTTAAATAATTCATCATACAAATATTTGTGAAGCCCAAGATTTAAGCTCCCGATAATCGTAGACTACATATTAGCATCATTTTTACGTCTTATAATTAACGATTTATAAAATAAAACAAAATGTTTATTACCCATATTTGTAATTTTCTCTAAACCAAAAAATATACCAGTTATAATCACTTAATTCTTAAGACAAAATCCATAAATAATTCCGTGATAGTGAACAATTAATTTGTGGACAATTTGTTTAAAATGAATGCGACAAAAATTAAAAGAGGTTGTTTCATTTGGGTGAGAATTGTTATTTTTTTTAGGTACATTTAAGATACCTAATTAGCCTTAGTTTGTAAGCTAATTGAGGTGAACGGAAACTGTAAATTGGGGACATTGAATAAATTCAGGGTTTATTTTGTATATAACGTGAATTAATTAAGAAGAAAAATTATTGTCACAAATACGTTTACTTAAATAAGATAACAAAGGTTTCAAAATTCATAAACACTAGCAAATTCAGTAACGTCTTCGAATCTTATTCTAAAAATAACGTTAAAAATGGGATAGTTTACATAATACAAGTTAATGTAAGAATGCATTTGTAACAAAAACCTTGTAAAACTAGATTTTGACAAAATTTGGTAATTTTTGTACTACTATATGTAAAGTGCTCTAATTGAGTGAAACTTCGTATGAATTATTCTAGTTTAATATTTTTTTTAATAATCACCCACAAAACAAGTAAAAAACCATGTAAATTTTTATAGCTCCCAGTAAAGTCATGATCAAACCGAGAACAAAACGTTTCGCTCTACACCGCAAAACGTGGAGGTTTGAAACTTAAGCTCATTTAACTTTCAACCACCTCTTGGGTGTTTTGACCTAAATAAAAATGATTTTCACACTCATTACTTACGACACCTTATAAAATATATTTTATTATTTATTCCATACATCAATATTTAAAAAAACATTGTTATAGGAAAAATATTAAAACTAAAACCCAAATAAGAGATAAAAAAAGGTGATAAAAATTACTTACATTAAATAATCTGGAACCCGTCATTAGTTGTTTTATCTTCAATTATACATTCAGGTAAATCGGTTTATCTTAACATTCATTAACACTTCGCCGAAACAAAATGGTTTTAGCAAAATATTTACTTCAGTCTTCATGCGTCATCCGACATTCGGGGTATTTTTAATCCTTATCGCAATTTCGCAGGCGTTGTGCAGATAACGTATAGACGGAGTACGAGATAATCCTCGGTTAAGCTTCACCAGTTTTTTTCCCACACTATCTCACACTTCCTAAAGCATTTACCATTTTTAAAGATAAGATTTTTCTCTAAGAAAGTAAAATCTTGAGTATTACTTCCGCTATTTCTATTTCTTAAAATAATTATCCGTACCGATTATATTATATATAGGTAAAAATATGAAATATTTTTTTTTTGAAATAATAGTTATACTACTAATAAAATACTAACAGTTTGTGATTCTATTTATAAGCAAACAAAAGGAAACAACGTAGCGCCATTGGATAAACAAATTTCATAGCCCTGACATTATGCTAGCGCTAGTAATGTGTTTATATCATTATATGACCACAATAAGTGCCTGACAATGCAGATAGTATCCTTGTTTCCCATGTTAGAGGGTTAAACTATAATATAGATAAGTTCGTATGAATACACTTTCTAAACAATAACAATATTAAAATTGCATGTTTTTAAATTTTATACCAATCCGCGGGTTATTTCTGCTGTATTGGAAATTATTTATTTCAAAATTTAATTTATCACAAAAAATTACTAAAGAAAAATACAAAATGTAACCAAATGTAAAAATATAAAACAATAAACCAGCTTCATATTCTCTTAGAAAATATAATTTTACTAGTACAAGTAATATTTACCATTCGTAAATTTAATCCGTGCCAACTATCGTATATAAGAAAGGACACAGGTAGAATCGTCCGTCCCTTTCATAATATGTAAAAACTGTATTTAAAGACATATCTAAACCCGCCTTTTCACCGAAATAAAGGCTATAGTTATCTTATGTTAAATCTTGCGTAGATTTTTAAATACCGCCTGCTATTCCTGGGCCCAAAAGAATCTAAAAGCGTAACGCCTGAGGGTTTTAATATTGTTTTTCATTCTTTTTATCAAAGAATTACGAGTGTTTCCAAATAGTATAGCACTCCATTCTGCCGAGGTCAAAATAATTGGAATGTACGTTATAATAAAGTTTAAAAATATATTTGTGTTTATAAAACAATCGTGAAACTGAACAAAATAAACTTATGTAACAATTGAAAATCATATTAGTTTGGAAGTTGTTTAAAAGTGGGTCACGAAACTTTATTCGCTTGCTTAGTTTAGACGGAATTATTCATAATAATAAATATTAAAAATTTTTGATGTTATTATCAAAATAACTAACAAATAAGTAATTCCCAATGCAAGATGAAGTAAAATTATAAGTCTAAAGTAATAATAGTAACTTGTAAGTCATTGTCCTAATTTCTGTTTAACTCAGATACCAGCGTCTACTGAGAGCACTGTTTGGAACTAAGTGATCATATTTGCACTGTGGCGTGTCTTAATGAATACGATAAGACGTAATGATGGGAAAACATGCATAATGTCGTGTAAGGGTGTTGTTTGTTCCAACTACATATTTCCTTATCCCTAACCTACGCACATTTGTCGTGTCATTTGCTCTTATTCTTTATAAGTAGAATTATAATTCAAAATCTATGAACTAAAACTATTTTGTTATAAAAATATATTAGAACAATACGAATTGTACATTTTTAAATAAAAGCTTAATACGTATATATTTTCGGATTCTAGTCTCGTACTATAAGCGACGTTATATAATGTTTTCTCTCTTGTTGTTTATTTATTCGTGTTGTGCATTCCCTTATTTGAAGTATAATAAATACTTATTCACATGTTCTAATTTGTTCCATTATATTTTATTAAGATTACTAAATAGATTACTTTTAAAGAGCTTAATTTTAAGATTTTATCGTTTAACAAAGAATAAGTTTTGTTAAGTTACTACTTTAAAAAAAATAAAAGATAAAAATATTTTATATATAAAATTTATTAATTATCTATAAAATTTTTGATTACGTCAAAAACTTTTTATTAAATGAGAATGTCTCAAAGTAATATCGAAGTTTTTTCCAGCCTATTATAAATTAAGAGTTTAACG